TCTAAAAAATTCTTTTTTTTTTAACGAAATCTATAAAGGTATATTTAGGACAAATAGAGACATGGGTAAAAAGCCACAACCATGGAGAATTGATTTAATTCTTCATATCGTACATACAGCATGGTTGGATATAGTTGATATCGTCTACTTGAAGTTCGGTTGTACATGCAAGAATATAGAATTTCTATATTTAACAGATTACTAGGCAACTTGATCCTGACGTTTACGCGATACACCATTGGAAGAGTAATTGGCCATCTTACGAGAAAGCTTGCATGCGTTACTGGAGCAATCTTTTTCTTTGATTTGATCGCAAGAATTACAAACGTGCTCCTTTAATATTCTTTTCTGATATTTTTTATTGGATGGAAACTAATCATCCAATCGTTAATATATTTACTAATCACCTTGCTTCACTGAGTGATTGTCCTGTAGAACTTGTTCATAGTATTATTCGATGACATACTCCTAAGTTTTTCACGGGCGAACAATTACGAACGAAAGCACATTTTATTTTTCAAAATCGTGATGATAACAAGTTTCGGCAACAATTTGTGAATTCCGTAAAATATCCGTATATGCCGAAGCAATTAAATATGCTTTCCAAGAAATGCGCTACGTTACTCTTGAGCACATTCACGAAAATATATCACACGCGTGATCAATATCCTTTGATTGTTCGATCTTCATCTGATAATATTAACGTATATAAACTTAATTATTTAGGTTATGAAGTAACTGATCGTTATCTTCCAAGAGGTTTCATTACTTCTAAGAAGCCTAACATTGCTACTCTGTGCGATTACATAAATTGTGATGACAATTCGTCTAATGGCAGCATTTTGGCATGCGGTCATGGCTATCACGATCTTTGTTTGCAAAGAAGCCAGTCAAAATGCCTTATATGTCTCGATTATCTTCAAGGCAAGATTAAAAATAATGTTAATACATTAATAACAAGTCTGACGAAAGAAAAAATGGAGAATGAATCAATAGATGAAAATAATGAAGACGTGGATAACGATTGTAGTAATGTAGAAGATGTAGTCGATAATATTACAGCGATAGAGGATCAACTAGAATTTAAAAAAAAATCGTTTCTTGAGTTATAATTTACATGACGTTAATATTTTATTGTTGATTTTTTTAAAAAAAATTTTATTATAATAAAAATTTTTTGTATTGTTAAATCCCTTGCATTATACAAATTAAAAGTTATTATGAATTATAAAGCATTGCCGCTGCTAACTAAAAAAAATAAAAAAATAATTCTGGCAATTGGATGTGAAAATTTCAATAATTTCCATATACTAATGTTGCCTGCTGCAAAGGCGCAACTTAATCTTTTTAATCTTTACAGCTTACTTATGTTGTAATTATTACAAGATAAGTAAATTATCGATATTATATTCTATTGCAACAATAAGTTGCAATCTAATTGCACTATAAAAAAGTCGCATTTCGCAAGCAATACTAATAAGACCGAATAAAGTGATCATCAAAATTCACGAATTTGATTGGTCAATTGGTGACGGGAGCTGTTGGAAGTGATCTGCATTTTGTGTAACCAAGGACGGTCGCCCCTCGAGCGAAACTAATATCACCATATTTCGGATCAGATTGGGTGAAATATTTAGGTTTCGCCCGAAACATTAGTTAAGAGCCGATTGATAACTAGTAAGCTGATTCATAGCCATTAACATATCTATTACTTGTAAAGTTTATTTCTTTTGCTATAAATTGTATTAATAATTATATGTAATATTGGACCTTATTATAAATTTTGATAGTATTTATTTTGAATTTAATTTTGATAAACTTTATTTATTTTTTTAAAAAAAATCTTAAAATATCTATAAAATTGTTACATAAAAATGATTAATTTCATTATTCAAATATAACTTTTACATAATATGATCTCATCTATCAAGTAAATATGCATCTAAGCAATTAATTTATTAATATATAGTTTAATAATAGTTAAAAAGAAACAAAATACAGTAGTACTAACTGTTAAATTTAAGTAATAAAAAAAAATAAATCGCAGATCATGAAACATATTTGGTGAAGTTACCACTGCCATTGTTATAATACGACAGGGTGAAACCCGCGCTGTGAATTAGTAAAATCCGCTACGTAGATTACACGAGGGTGAAATTCGCTTTTGCATAATAAAAAACATAGCCAAGCACGGATTTCACCCTAACGTGATGTGATCTACGTAGCGGATTTTACTAATTTACAACGCGGGTTTCACCCAGTCCTGTTATAATTATTATCTTCGAAATTATCATGTGTTGATGATGATTTATTTTTTCGATGTTTTTTAGTTACACGTTCATAAACTTTTTTTTTTTTTTTTTTTAAACCTCCATGGATGCGTTACCATGAGGACGACGCGTGTCGTACGTTTATAAAATTTTGCACCCGAAGGCGCATCCACTCATGATTGAGCGTGTCATCCTTGTGCAGGGGCCATGTTAATCTTCTCTGTATCGTTCCAATTTTAATAAGTGTCGCTCCGAAGAGACGACTATATTCGTTTTTTCTTTTATATGTTGGTGGTGGTGTTGTTGTTGTTATTGCTGAATCTTCATCCATTTCCCAGTTACTTGAATTTTGCATTTTTACTTTTTCTTGTATTTCAGATAGTTTGTGCTGAAGACGTGATAGTTCATCCTGAATGCGAGCTTCTTCTGCTTCATGGACCAAGATACTTCTTTCTAATTTCAGAAGAATAATCATGAATAATAATAAAGCTGATATATAAATGCAAAATAAGTGACTTTACTTACTATTTTACATTCTGAGATTACTTTATTCAAATAATTCTCGAAATTGTACCGTTTCCGTTCTGCAATAAAAAAAGTATTTGTTAACAGTGTGTAATTTTTTATTAGTGGTGAGAGCATGCCAGAAACCAAATAGTTTAGGGTGAACCCCATAGTATAGAGAAATCAGATGACAAACGACATTCCCCAAAAGGAAAATACATAGTTAATTCCTTCTCTAGAATCAGACCTTTATAACGACAAAGTTAGGGAGCCCGAATAGAGAACCTGGAGTAGTTACCAACTTGTCATACCCGGTAATTCTCCTAGAGTCCCGCAACACACGAGAAGTTTGCCCTAACCTTGCAAAATAAAAAAATACACACCATTTCTTCTAAATTTTCGCCGGTTTTTCTTGCTTCTGCTAAGAAATTATGGACCCAGTTACCTTCGAGATCCTGCCTGAGAGAAGTAGCTGCAGTAGTATTAACGATTGTATCTCGATGGCAACGTAGGAAGCCCCAAAATAATTTTCTTCGTAACCAGGATAGTTTGAAGTCGTGGTATAAAAGCTTGTTGAGAATCTAAACACGTAGTTTCCCCCTTAAATACAGAAATAACGCGTATATTGCCCCTAGCTCTCCCACAAAAAATTGCTCACCCCTGAATTTTGACCAATCGAATCTCAGGATCAGGTGTAACGTATGAATAACTAAAATTTTAATTATCAAGTGTTATATTATTTTATGCGTGACCTTTTACTTAGAAACAAGACACTGGGGATGAACAATTTTTTGTGGGGTGAACAATACTCTTTCCTGATAAAAATATAAACTCAAAATATAAACTGATAAAACTACTGATGATAAAACTACTGATTGATAAAACTACTGATTGATAAAACTTAATACGTCTGCTTGCGATAAAACAATAATAAACTGTATTATTTTTATATTTAATTAAATTAGCGTTTACATTGATACGCTTGCGATAAAACAATAAACTAACTAGGAACTGGAAACCGGAGCGTAAAATATTATTATATTAAAAACTAATTAAAAAAAATAATAAATTGAAAATTAGTTCGTAGTTGTATATACAATAGTAAGGGTCTGTATTATTGGTAAACATCATACGTATATATAGTATTATATATTCGACCAATCAGCATTCATAAAAGCGGACGGACAGACAAATTCACGTGATCTCGATGATCACACGCTGTCGTAAAAACAGAGTGTCCTCCGCTTCGCTCCGGACAAAAATATGATATCTGAAGCCTGCTCTAATTACAGAATTATCAATTGTTTAGGACAGAAAATTTGAAAAGGGGAAATGAATATATTGTTAATAACAGCATATTTCTACATTAAACAATTCATTTTTTCTAACAGCTATAAAATATGTTTGTGAATTTTGTTAGTGCTATGCACTTTCTGCTTAGCTCAGGGTAGCTCAGCGCTACGTATATAAAACATTTTCAATTTTGTGAAACTATAACTTACTTTTTTTGCAGGTTAATTCAGAACGGAAACGGTATAATTTCAATTGGGTTGATGTTATCGCAGAATGTAAAATCGTAAGTAAAATCGCTTATTTTGCATTTATATATTAGTTTTATTATTTTTCATGATTATTTTTCTTAAATTAGAAAGAAGATATTTGGTCCGTGAAGCAGAGGAAGCTCGCATTAAGGATGAACTATCGCGTCTCCGGCGGAAATACGAGAAAAAGTAAACATTAAAAATTTAAACTGAGAAGATGACGATAATATTAATGGCAATGGTAACGATGTTAACGATGTTAACCATAACTATAATAACGGCAACAATAATGGTGACGATAATGATGACGATAATATAATACGAGAAAAAGTAAACATTAAAAATTTAAACTGGGAAGATGACGATAATATTAATGGCAACGGTAACGATGTTAACGATGTTAACCATAACAATAATAACGGCAACAAGATGATGATGACGATAATATTAATGGCAATGGTAACGATGATAACACAATAATAACGGTAACAACAACACCGTTATCATCACCAGCAACAGTAACAACAACACCGTTATCATCACCAGCAACAGTAACAACAACAC